TATTACTTCTGTTTCCTGACTTTTATCCCTCTTATTCCTACACTATCCTTAAACAATGTAGCACTTACACTATTTGTTCTGCATCATTATCCATTAGTAATTCTCATATGTCTTGGCAGATATGAACTGGAAGATCTAATCCCCTTGAATTGAAAATTATCTAACCTGTTTGCCCTCAAAACCTTTAACACTTAACCAACCACCTTTGGTAGCGTTTCACAGCCTGATTCTAGTTTTCAATAGCTTAATCCCCTCCTAGGTAATCTAAAAAGAGGTGATTTCGTTGAGCTGCTTGGAACAAACCACGTGCTCTTCACAGTATTAATAGTGTGGAGACCCAGGTAAATTTACTATGTTATGCATGAAGTTTCATCCCAAGAGGAGTCATCACATAAATACTGAGGTCACAAGTTTTTTTTTTTTTTTTTGGGTTCTTGAAGATATACCCATCAACCCTTTTAATTCGGCACTGTCCACAACTATTACAATTACAGCTCCACAATTTTAACAGCATTTTTAGTTTACTTGTGAGTTTCAACATTAACTGTATCCAGAGTATTTGATAAAAAAAAAAAGTACATTATTGGATCTTTATCTTCAATAGAAAGAAAAAGTCGCAATGAGAAAAACTGGCACGGGATTGCCGTAGCACAAGGAAACTTATTAAAGACTAAGGATTCTTACAGTGACAAGTTCTTCTATCAACAAGGGCGACAACTTGGCATCAACCAATTCCTCTTGCAGAGTCCTTCTTGTGAGATTGTACAAACCAGCCCATTTAAGCATCTCATCAACAGTCTCAAAAGCAGGTCTTGTTTCAAAGTTCTCGTAATACCTTAAGAACTTGTCAACAGTATTCTGCACCACAGTAATACGTCAGAACTGCGGCATCCAAGGAGATCAAAAGACACAAGGAAGAGAGAGAGAGAGAGAGAGAGAGAGAGAGAGAGAGAGAGAGAGAGAACGGTCAACGTAGAATTAGTTTCAGAGTTACTTCCCTTTCCCTCAAGATTAGCGACAAAAAATAAGTAGTTCAAAAATGTCAATCAATGGCACCAAACAAAGAGTGACGCCGATTCATCAACTAAAAACAAGCAGAAAAGGAAAAAAAAAAAAAGGGAGTAGGAGAAGAAGAGAAGTGAAAAGCATACCTCAACAAAGCTACCCATTTTAAGAAGCGAGAATCCATATCGAAGAAACAAGTAGAGAGAATTCGCAAATGAAACGATCTTTTGTACCAGCGGAGCCTTGGAATTAACACTAATGGTCTTGAAGATAAACTTTTTCCCGTTCCAAATTCCAAGAGACAGCGAATCCTCCGAAGAAGGCGGGCGTTTGACTTTGAGATTAAGGAGCTTGGTGAAGTCGAGAGCGTGGTAGTTCTTGGGATGGAGAATGGACGCGCCAGCCTCGAACGTGTCGCCGGAGACCGAGACCGTAGCCATACGTCCCCC